AAAGCAGAGCAGGGCACAAACAGCAAAACTGACCTCACTGGTGATGACTGAAGATATGTGAGGAGATGCATACATTTCTACCTAGGTCGTGCTCGCCCTCAGCTTAGCTACACCTGTACTTAGCTGGGGCAGCTAGCAATCTGAAAAAATGGGAAAGGTTTTCATGGGAAGAGGGATTCCTCATTATGCAGAAATACCATTTAGGTCATTGTCTCTTCAAAATAATCCTTCCAGCTCTCATCAATATATCTCTATGATGAGCCATACTAAGTGACACATAAAATCAAAAGCATAGGACATTTAATTAAAATAGAACAGTAAGAGAAATAACAATGAATTAAATCAGATAGTAAATATTACCTGCATTCACACACAAATTTGTCAAACACACACAAACAACACAGGAGAAGAGGGATACAGTCAGTGGTATCATGGTTGAGACAGAATCTGAAACCTGTTGGCTTAATTAGTTCCTCTTTTAATCTCATTTTGGTAGGCCAAAGAGCACTGACTCCTTGAGCCTAGGCAAATACTGAAGCATCTTGCATAGCCTTTTTAGTTATCATGTTCTAGATGGGATGTCAGAATTCACAATGCTATGACCAGATGTATGCTGGATAATGTCACCATACTGTGGTCTGACACATAGCCTTTTGGGAAATGTAGCCCAGAGAATCTCTCCCAATCTCATCTCCTAAGTATTGTAGGAAGTAATGTCCATAAACATGTCCTCTACATTTATTATTATTATTTTTTTTAGGCAATTGGGGTTAAGTGACTTGCCCAGGGTCACATAGCTAGTAAGTGTCAAGTGTTTGGTCTGAGGCTGGATTTGAACTCAGGTCCTTCTGACTTCAGGACCAGTGCTCTATGCACTGTGCAAGCTAGCTTCCCCTACATTTATTATTTCAAAGGCTATTCTCATTTGTGTACAACTTTGTTCATAATTACTAACTAGAGATTAACTGATTGTTGTGTCTCATTTTAACAATTAATTTTTTTAAAATAGAAAATCCTACTTGAGCCTAATAATGTACTAATCTTTCTTCTAAGGCATTCCCAGTTTTGGAAAGCCTAGTCTACCCATCTGGATCTTCTCCAACTTACTTGACTTGCAAACACAAGCCTGTAACGTGATGGTTAATGGTGACCCAGGAAGAAGGGTCACAAGATTGAAATGGAGACAGGATGCCTAGATCAGGCAATTCTGTTTCTCCTAGTTTTGTCTCTGGTATTTACCCAGAACAAATATAATCCCTCTCACATGCCCAGTCACCAAATATTTGAAGAAAACTATCATAACCCTCCTGAAGTCTTCTGAATTATTTTAATCATTCTTCATATAACCTGGTTTCAAGTCCCCTCACTATCCTAATTGCCTTCCTCTGAAAATATGTATTTGTCAATGCCCTTCCTAAAACCTGGTTCTCAGAACTAGAATCAATGTTTCAGATGTTATTTGACCACAGCAGAGCACAGCCATCAAGAAGAGTAGGTGGAACATGTAAGAAAAACTTACTGAAAAGCACATTTCATCTCAATACAAAAAGCACCCAAACATCAAAGCCATTCAAAAGAAGAAGGCTGACAGGAGAATTTCCCATCTTAAGAGGTTTTTAGAGGAAGGTCCGATTATCACTAGTGATCAGTCAACTATGTTTAGTGAGATCACAATAACAATAGATAAGGATGGTGCCCTATGCTGTGACCACAGCTTTCATTTTTATACTTTACCTACTGAGCAACTATATGTTGTTGGTAGGAAGGGAAAGAGAGAGAACAGAGATGGACAGTCTCTTCCCCTTTTTATAGATGAGAATCAGGTTCTCTACTCGTATTAATTGTGAATGAAGTGATAAACAATTTAGAATTGCCTTTAAGTTGACACAAGGTAAAGGATATGTTAGTGGATTCCTTGTTTAGGGTCTTGTCTAAAATAAAAAGGGCAGAGGGAAGGAGTTATTCGTGTTCTCTCATAACCAACAATACGAGTTGGCATAACACCTCAAGGTTAAGAGTTAATCTACAGATTGTGGCCATGGTACAATCATTGTCTATCATTACCATGATCTGGTCAAGCATTGATTAAGTTAGTGTCTGGCCAGTTTTTCCTAATGGTTAGCTAGGTAGCACTGGACTATAGAACACTGGGTTTGGAGTCTTCTAGAGGACTTGAGTTCAAATTCAGTCTCAGATATTTACCAGCTGTGTTAACCTGGACAAGCCACTTAACCTCTCACTGCCTCAGTTTACTCACCTGTAAATTTGGGATAATAGTAGCAGCTACCTCCTAGGATTGTTTATTTGTAAAGTGCTTTGTAAACTTTCAAGTTCTATATTGTTGTTGTTATTGGTTAGAGTGGGTTGGTAATGTGACTAAGAGTTGATCCTAATGAGAATAGTGGGCTTGGGAGGATAGAAGAAAGAGAATGGATGTCTACTCCAGTAAAGAAATAGATAACTTTGAGTATTCTTATCATGGGGAGAAATCTTTTTGGATAGGGGACCCACTTTCCTGGTCACCATCAGAAACAACTGCTGATCACCAACAGACAGATAAACAGAAGAGCTTTGGGAATGGTAACACTGCCTCCTCCACTTCTGGCTCTGCTTCGAGACCAGCCCTCATAGTCATTATCTGGGGAAACAACTTCTGCAAAGAATGGGCCAGCCTTCTGCCAACCAACTGCCCTTCACAGGGCAACCTACATGCCAGCCTACCTGAGGCAGCAAGGGAACCTGAGGGAGAGACAGGAGGTAGCATGTGTGCCAGGCAAGTCAAACCACCATCACCACCATCTTGGCTACTGTTTCCTCTTAGACCTTGATTGAGACAGTCTTGGACATGAATCCAAGAGCCTTGGGAATACCAAATGTTCAAAGTGCTGTATAAATGTACACTATCACCACCACTACCTCCACCACCACCACCATCATTTCCATCCTCCTCCTCTTCCTCATCATCATTATTGATTAAGAAGAATTTGGTAATATGAATAGATGAGTAATTCCAGAAAAAGGACGTAAATAGTCCCATTATTGTTTTTTCTGGTTCTATTACTTCTGTATTATTACGTTCAGTTTTGAGCAGCCTATTTTAGGAGGTACATGAACAAACTGGAGCATGTCCAAAGGAGGGCAAGTAGGATGGTGAGTGAATTTGAAGCTATGTCATATGAGGATTGGTTGGGGAAAAATTTAACGTGGGGAAGAGAAGACTTAGGTGAGACATAAAAGAAGAAGAAAAGAAAAGAAGTTTGAGTCAAAGAGAATAATTACCTTTTTTTTTTTAAAGGTGAGGTCTCGCTGTCTTGGTCAGGCTGGAAGTATAGAGGCTACTCCCAGGACCAATCTCGCTGCCGATCAGTGTAGGAGATTTGACCCACTTATTTATGACCTGGGCTCACTTCTGTTGAGCTATAGTTTCCCTATTCTCAAAACAAGAATAAAAAACATTCTCATTACCTACTCTACAGGGCTGTTGTAAGGCTCCAATAAGATAATGTGTGTAAAACACTTTATAAAGTCCTATGTAAATGTGAGTTATTAGTATTTTGTCATCATCTTGGCTTTTCATGTTCTTAGGGAATCTGTGTCTTCTTCTGAACTTATACCTAGGGCAAATTGTTTTTTCAAATTGTTCATTAATTCATTCAGTGCCTACTATTATGTTATCTATTGTAGTGAAGTAGATAAGCACTGTGCATGGAGTCAGGGGACCTTAGTTCAAATCCCGTCTTTGGTACTCAATGTGTATCAGTGTGATCCTGGACAAGGCACCTTTCTATGCCATATTGGGGAAAAGGGTGGAAATGGTCCCATAATACTCTTTGCTGATCATTTCACCCAGGAGTCATGGTGTTCAGTTCTGAGTATCATCTGCAAAACAGAGATAACAATATCACACTACCAATCTTCCAGGATTGTTGTGATGAAAATGCTTTGCAAACTTTAAAATGCTATAGAAATGTGAGCTATTCTTGTTCTTTAACTTTTTCTCATGTGTGTTTTTCTTTTCCATCTAAGCTTTTTGTGGTCCCCCAACAGAGTCCAGAACAAAGTTAGGCTAACAATCTGTTCTCAAGAAATGCTTATTGAAATTTGGGTACTTATTTGAATTTGGATGGTGTAAATCAGTATTTTCAAGATCTGCACACTCTTAAGTAAAACTGATTATAGACTTTCTAAGTCTGGAGGGCAGAGAGAGCAGGCCCTAAGATGTGGTAGCCTCTTTCATCCCTTACAATGTTTAGCAGCCCCAGAGTTCCAGGGAACCAGGAGACTTGAAGTCCTTCCCTCTTCAATCCTTACAGGATCCCCCCAATCCTTATCTCCCAGTCTGATTTTTTTTCCTCTATGTAAGGACATCAAGAATGAGCTTAGTGAATAAAACTTGGATGACTTTGGGCATTTCTGCTGGGGTCGCTTCTTCTGGTTTGGCCGGACCACTCACCCTCCCTTCCTTCCTGACTTAATCAGGAGATTGTCTTTGAGGCATTAACCTGGGAATATCTGACTTTTTTTTCCCCTTCTTTCTCAAGGCTGGAACTTCTTCCACCAAAAGATTTATTCTTTTCCAGGAAAAGATGTGATCATAAGCAACTTTCTTACCCATTTTTAATTGCAAGCGGATTTCTAATAAGTGAAGTGAATTGGAAGATTTAGAACACCCTCACTTCCATTTCCATCCTTACCCCCATTTCTGCTTGCACCCCCTCCCCAAGGAGAAAAGAACAGAAGAACTTGATATAGAAAGATTGCTTTAGACAGAAGTTCTCATGAATTGCAAGTTTATTGGCTTAGGGCAAAATAGGAAGATGGTGGTACAGAGCTAGGGTGAAGAGGGGGTCTGTAGATGGGATGATGCCATTTCCCAGTCGGGTGAAATATTCCGGAGAACAAGACACAGGAGTTGGAACTGCCATCGAGGTTAAGGGGCAGCTGAAAGGAGACCCCTTCGTTTTAGAGGCTGAGGAAGAATTGAAGGCATTTGGTGAAACTTAAGGCAATATCATGAGAATTGTAAACCTATAGGCCGCAGCCAGAACAAACTTTTTGCTCATTCCTCTGGGTGCCGGGCAGGATGGTTTACTTGGTTGGCCAGCAAGGTGCCTGCTTCTGCTGGGTCTGGTGGGCCACGGGCACTCCCTTGCCACCCCCGGAGGAGCCTCCGCCACTCCCCCCGGAGCCACCCCCGCCGCTGGAGCCGCCGCCGCAGCCGGAGGAGCCGCCGCCGCCGGAGCCGCCGCCGCTGGGGAAACAGACGACGCCGCTGGAGCCGCCGCCGCTGGGGAAGCAGCCGACGCCGCTGGAGCCGCCCCCGCCGGTGGGGTAGCAACTGCCACCGCCGGAGCCGCCTCCGGAGCCGCCGCCGCTGGAGCCGCCTCCGTATGATCCCCCTCCGCTGCTCTGCTGTGATGGAGCTTGGACGCACTGCTGAGAAGAGTAGCCGCCGCCGCTGGAGCCGCCGCCGCCGCCGGAGTAGTAGCCGCCGCTAGAGCCGCCCCCGGAGCCGCCTCCGCAGCCGGCGCCGCCGCCGCCACCGCAGCTGGAGCCGCCGCTAGAGCCGCCCCCGGAACCGCCTCCGCAGCTGTAGCCGCCCCCGCTGCCCCCGGAGCCGCCGCCGCCGCCGCCGCCGCCGCCGCTGCTGCCCGAGTACTTCTGTTGGCTGGGATAGTAGGAGGAGCCACCGCCACTGCCGGAGCCGCCGCCGCCGCTGGTATAGCAGTAGCCGCCGCTGCCGCCGCCGCTGCCGCCCCCGCTGCTACCTCCCCCACAGCTGGATCCTCCGCCGCCTGAGCTACCGCCGCTGGTGTAGCAGTAGCCGCCGCTGCCACCGCCGCCGCTACCGCCGCCGCAGCCGGAGCCACCGCCACCTGAGCCGCCGCCGCTGGAGTAGCAGTAGCCGCCGCCGCCACCGCCGCCACCGCCGCTGCTACCGCCGCCGCAGCCGGATCCGCCGCCGCCTGAGCCGCTGCCGCCGCCGCCGCCGCCGCCGCCGCCGCCGCGGGAGACCTTGACACAGCCTACTGGGGGCTGGGGTGTGGGCTGGGTCTTCTGGTAAGACATCTTCTCAGTAGCAGGGGATGAAGAGCTTGGAAAGAAAGAGAAAAATAATCGGACCGGAGGCTTCAGGCTGAAGGGGGCTGCTGGTTTGAGAGCAGCTAATTGGGGTCTCTCGGAAAAAGCACCGGGCTCTAAACGAGTGTGGTAAGAAGTTATCCCAAACCTTGGGGGGCAATGCCACTCAGATTACCAAAATGAAGTTTCCTGGAAGGTTATGACTTTTCCAGGAGTCAGTGTGGTCATTTCATAAGAGAATTATATCTGGAAGGGATTTAGAGATCTAGTGCAACTTCCTAATTTTAAAAGGTGAGGAAATCAAAGCCTGGAGAGTAGTCTGTCCAGAACCGCACAGGTAGTTGAGTTGGTAATTTATCTGTTTTTTTTTTTTTACTCCAAATCCAGAACTTTTTCCACCATAGACAATAATAAAAATAGCCTACTATGAAAATAATACATGCAAAACACTTGACTTGTATTAATCTCAAAACAACCCTGTAAGAGTAGGCACTACAAGCATGATTATTTCTGTTTTACAGGTGAGGAAACTGAGGCCCAGAGATTGTGACCTATTCATATCCACCCACAAATCCTGTCAGAGGCAGAATTTGAATCCATCTTCCTGACTCCTATTTCCATACTCTTTTTAAGAGGCCATAGGAGCCTGGGATACCACAGGTTTTGGGCCTAGAACCTTGTTCTAGATGGTTTGAGGCTTAGAAAGTTAGGATGCAGATGTCAGAGGAAGTTGGTTTTGTTGTGGTCTCACCTAGAAATAGGGAGATGACCTCAGTGACTTCTGCTCCTCCCACTTCCATTCAGCCTCAGAATTTTTGGACCTCTGTCCATAAATTCAATTTTAATCAATTCAGCAGGCATTTATTAAGTACCTACCAAGTGCAAGGCACCATTCGAGGTGAGGAGGAGAAAAAAAGCTGACACCCAAACAACCTTTCACTCAAAAAGCTTACATTCTATTGCATTGGAGGGAGAATACAATATGTTCATAATGAAGTCAATGTAAAGTATATATGAAATGATATAAAGCAATTTTAAGAGAGAGAAAAAAGCACTTAATTTAGGAAGGAGCATCAGCAAAGGCCTCCTGGAGAAGCTGGTACCTGAAGTATGCTTTAGAAGGAAGCTAGGGATTCTAACCTAAATGTGATTGGCTGAAATCCACACTTGGTGTGCTGTAATCTATTTCCATAAACCTGAAATGGAAGGGAAGTTTCAGTCTAGGAGAGTAGCCTCGGGGTGGCTCTCCTCACTGTAGATGTAGAAGACCTGATACACCCACACACAAACTCTTCTCCCTCAATCAACTAATTCCTAAGGAGCTGCTAAGCAACTCCTTGATGCTCAGCACTCTGAGAGTACAAGACATCTATGGCCCTTGTCTTCGAGGAGACCATATTCTTTGAGATTAAAAAATGGTCAGGGAGGGCCATAACTGTAGCACCATACAGCTGGAAAGGACCTTAGCAATCCTCTAGCTCAAATGACCTCATTTTACAAGTAAAGAAACTGAGAAATAAAATTGTCCAAGGCCACAAAGCTCATAAGTCTCTGAGCCAAGACAAGAGCTGGGATTCTGATAAAGCCTAGTGTCCTTTCCACTTAATGCCTTCTGGAGGCATTTGGGGATGCTCAAATCCCAGTTCTGCCTCAAGTACTGATGGATGCCTTTTCTGAGGAGACATCAATGCCAAATCTTTCTCCCCTTCTCTCGTTCCCCTCTCCCTGGGGACAAGAGATGTCCTTAGATATCCCTTCTCCCCCTCAAAGAGTAAATCTACAGTTATGGATTTACAGGGTCTGGCAAAGACAGAGCAGGATCTGACCCTCCCCAGAAGGCCTGAAGAATCTCTGGCCCTGTCCAGTTACTATAACTTGAGGCAGAAGCCAAAAGATTGAAGCTGACCAAGCCCCATGGGAGGCAGATCAGCAAGCCCAAGGCTCTCACTTACCTGGATCACCAAGAGGGATAAGCAAGAAGAGAAGCTAGCTGAGCTGTGTGAGGAACACTCGGTTCCAGAGCCTTTTATACTCTGCCTGATTCCTCATTTGCATTTGTGAGCCACTCTCTACGTGACCGCTCCTGCTATGGGGCCCCACCTCCCCCTCAATGAAGGCATAGGGTGGACCACTTCAGATTCTTGAAATGTGCAGCCTGGCAGGTGACTTGGCTCCATTCCTGATGCAATGATGCCAGCAAGGGTCAACAAGGGAGGATGGCAGGCATTGTTTCTGAAAGATCTGGCAAGGAACGAATGGCATGAGGAGCTTGCTAGGCTATTGACCCAAGGTTCTTAGTGTGTTTTTGGGCCTTGACAGCATCACAGAGGTCAAAGAGGTAGCCTGGCTTGGGAGGCAGGAAACCCAGGTACCAGTCCTAGCTCTGCCATTTACTTGCTATGTGATGCTGGGCAAATAGTTTATCTTAGATAGTCCTCATTTTCCTCATCTGTGAAGTGAAAAAGTTATATGGAATCCCCAAGATTTCTTCTAGCTCTGAGATTCTACAAGTTCCTCACTTCCCTCTACCTCACACCAGGAGGATTTGAAGAAGACCCTTAATTTGTCAGGATTGGTCCAGTCACTGCACTGCTTCACAACAATCACTTTGGAAGAGAGCTCATTTTCTGTTATTATTATTATTATTTTTTTTTACCAATGATTGTTCCACATACACATTATCTTACTAGACTGGAAGCTCTCTGTTGTAATAAGAGGGATTGGGTCTCCTCTGGGTTTGTATTTCATTCCACAGTCAATACAGGACTTCCCATGAAGTGTGTACCCAGACAATGGTGTTGGCTGGCTGAGGTTAGGAAGGGGCACCAACCATAGCCTTGATTTATTCCTGGGGACAATTTATCTCTTAGGAGGTAGATGGCTATATCCTTCCATTTGCCCTGGTTGGTTCTTTCACTGCTAACTCTCATTTTTAGTAATAATAATGATGCTGATGACTGAGATGATTAACACTAATTTCTAAATAGGGCTTTAAAGTTTGAAAAAACATTTTTTATTATCTTGTGTCTGACAGCCCCCTTGTGAGGTAGGTACTATATATATCATTTTCATTTTAAACATGAAGAAGAAATGCTTCAGTTTCCTCCACTTAAGTGACTTGTCATGGATCATATAACCAGTGAGTTTCAGAGGCAGGATTTGAACTAAGGTAACACTCTGAGGTAGAGAGTGCAAATGTTCACCCCCCCCCCCAGTTTTACAGGTGAGGAAACTGAGGTTTGGAAAGTGAAATGGCTTGTCAGTAGTCAGGCAGCTAATAAATGTAAAGACCAGGACTTGAATATAAATCTCTTGTAACAAATCCAAGGCACCACATTGGCTCTTGAAGAAGCTCAGGATATGGGTTTCATTCCACTGTGGGCCAGTTAACTTTGCTTTCCCAAGCACATCTTCTTTGTACTAAACCCCAGCTATTTAATTGATGTTATTGTTTCCTGGGACCCCCAGACTCCTAGCTTTGGCCAGATGTTCAGCAAATATTTGCCCTTGGTTGCAGGAAGACCAGGAATATTTGTGGGATGACTCAGAGAAAAACAATCTACTCTACTAGAAAAAAACAAATCAAATCATCCATCAATCCATTTATTGATTCATTCAATAAACATTTAAATATATATGTAGAGCATTGTGCAATGGGATGAGGGAAATAAAAATGTAGATAAAATATGGTTGCTCTATTAAGTAGCTTCACAGTCTAGAAAGAGGGGATATAACACAAATGTAGACAACTCTGGTATATAATAATACATGAGAGTATTAGTGGATTGTAGAACAAATCCAATCATTCAGTCCAAGGGGGAAACCAGGGAGTTCAGGGAAAGGCTTCCTGGACAAGGTAGAATTTGAGCTGGCTATGAAGAATGGGTAGGAAATTAACAGGTGAAGTCCATGTCCTTGATAGCACCAATGAGGTATGTGAAAACAATCTATGTTGATGTTTTCTTTCTTTCTTTCTTTCTTTTTTTGATTGACCACAGGAACTGGATTGTTATTGGTAACCTAGATATTTGAGACATCATACTTTGATCCTGTTCCACCCACTAACATGTTGAAATGACGACTGTAATCCTCTATAGCACACATTGTCTCTTAATTAAGGTGCAGTTTTTAATGACCCAAATCCTGATTAGTAGAGATTAGAAACTTGTGACACCCTGGTTTTGTAAAGGATATGGGACTGAAGAAACTCAAGAAATACATAAGGAGAAATGTGCCAGAAATATGAGAGGAGCCTCCCTCAAAATTAGGAGGAAAAAAATGGTTTGAGAGCTCCGGTCTATTCTGTAGCTATGAAGAGAGATTTGGAAGAAAAATTCCCCTGTAGTTGAATGATTATGCCTAGAGCCAAGGTGTGGAATCATTTGGTGTGGAGGCGCCAGGTTTCTTGTCTCCCCAGAGGGAAGTGGTGGTATTGAACTGAGCTGGTTTAGTGCTAAGAACCCTGGATTGGTCATCAGACCACCTGGGTTTGAATCCTGGCTCTATCACTGTGTCATCTATATGACCTTGAACAAATTGCTTTACCTTTTTTTCTAAAAAAAATTTATTTTAATTTGTGGAATAAAACAAGCATTTCCATAGCATAGTAAAATAAAAAGATGATTGCACATGAAACTGAAAATCGATTATGTACAACTTACTATTTCTTTTAAATATATAATAAAGTTATCATACAAATTTTTTCTTTTTCTTTTTTTTAATGAGACAATCAGGGTTAAGTGACTTGCCCAAGGTCACACAGCTAGTACGTGTCAAGTGTTAGGTCTGAGGCCAGATTTGAACTCAGGTCCTCCTGACTTCAGGGCCCATGCTCTACCCACTGCGCCACCTAGCTGCCCCTAAGGGAACTGAGGCAAAGAGGGTTAAGTGCCTTGTCCAGGGTCACACACCTAGGAAGTGTCTGAAGCCAGATTTGCACTCAGGATGAGTCGTCTTCCTGACTTCAGGCCCAACACACTATCCACAATACCACCTAGCTACCTCCCCTTTTTTTCTTCCCCTTCCCCCCATGGCTACCACTAGATACAAATAGGTATCTATATGTACAATTATTCTATACACACTCAAGTCTCAGTTTCCTCATTTCTAAAATGATGGGGTTGTACTAGCCTGACATGTCAGACAAATCTATAGTCAGCAAATCTCCTAGTTTTGTTCCCTAGTAATTGGGATATGTTTAACAAAATAAATAAAAATTCAGTCAAATGTAGGTAATGTTTAATTTGTGGTTTTCTAAGTCAATATATAGCCACAGGGATGTTTCCCTTTAAGTCTGACACCAATAGAATAGATGACCTCTAATCCCCTTATTGGGCTCAGGGATTCACCATGACTTCATTTTATTTTATTCTGTTTTCAACACAGCAATGAAATAAGTGTTGATTGGGTTGATCCTTATGTGCCAGGAACTATGCCAAGTGCTAGGGATACCTATACAAAAATGCTGCAGTCCCTGACTTCATGGTAGGTACATTCTACCTAGGGGAAAAAATATGTATGCAGATACCTATATGCAAAACATATGCAGAATACATAGAAAATGGTTTGAGGGGATAGGGGCAAGTACCAACACCTAGGATCATCAGGAAATGCCTCATGGAGAAGGTAACACTTAAGTTGTGTTTTGAAAGAAGTTTGGGATTACACGTGGTGAAAGGATTTACTTTCCAGTTTATGGCTCCCATTCATATAGAAATTGTGTTTCCAGGCTATCTATGACATTTAATGTCCCTACCACACACTTGGATACCTTTATAATCTTCTCTCACTTATTGTCCTCTTATGACCAGCTAGATGGTAATAATAATAATATAGCTAGAGAAGTACTTTACATACATTATCAAATTCTATCTTCGTACAACCTTGTGAAGTAAGTACTATTATTGTAATATCCATTTTCCAGCTTAGGAGTTTGATGCTTTAAGAGGTTAAGGGATTTGCCTAGGGTCCCACAGTTAGTGAGTGTCTGAAGGGAGCTCTGAATCTAGGTCTTCCTGAAGTCCAGGGATTTCTTAACTATGTCATTTTGCATCTATGAATATAAGAACCTTCAGGGCATGAACTATATCTGATACTTCTTTTTATTACAAGCAGTGTGGTATAGTGGAGAGAGTACTAGAATTGGACTTGAAAGTTCTAGTTTCAAATCTACCTCTGATCACCTGTTAGTTGTGTGACCCTGGGCGAATACTTAACCTCTCTGTGCTTCCATTTCATCATCTGTGGAAGGACAGAGTTGGAAGGTGTCTTCCAGATTTAAATCCATGATTGTATATTTATATATGTCCCACTGCCACACATGACTGTACTTTTCTTTAGGTATGGGCTGCAATAATAATTCTTTTTATAGCAGTTAGGGTGGTATAGTGGTAAAAACGAGAATTCATGTTCAAATCTCATCTTGGACACAATATATTTAATTTAAAAAAATTTATTTACTTTTAACAATCATTAAAAATTTTTTTGAGTTCCAAGTTCTCCTCCCCCACCTCTCCCCTACCCATTCAAAAGACAAACAATATGTCATCAATTATACTTGTGAAATCATGCAAAACGTATTTCCGTATTAACCATGTGGCCAAAAAGAAAACAAAAAACAACAAAAAGCAAGAAATACACACAAAAAAAACCAAAAAAAGAATTCTTCAAGCTGCATTCAGTTCATCAGTTCTGTCTCTGGAGGTGAATAGTAGTTTTCATCATGACTCCTTCAGAATTGTCTTAGATTGTTGTTTTGACCAGAGTAGTTAAGTCTTTCATAGTTGATTATTGTTACAATATTGCTGTTACTGGGTAGTGTTCTACTGGTTCTGCTAACTTTACTTTGTATCAGTTTTTAAGTGTTCCTATCCTGCTCATCATTTCTTAGAGCACAGCTGGATTCCATCACAATCATGTACCACAACTTGATTAGCCATTCGCTAGCTGATGGCTATCCCTTCAGTTTCCAATTCTTTGCCATCAGAAAAAGAGCTACTATAAATATTTTTGTATCTATGGGTCCTTTTTCCTTTACTTTGATCTCTTCGGGGTATAGATCTAGTGGCAATATTGCTGGGTCAAAGGATATGCACAGATTTCTAGCTCTTTGGGCATAGTTCCAAATTGTTCTCTGGAACAACTGGACCAGCTCACAGCTCCACTAACAGTGCATTAGTGTCCCTATTTTTTCCACATTCCCTCCAGCATTTGTTATTTTCCTTTTCTATTATGTTAGCCAATCTGAAGCATGTAAGGTATTACATCAGAGTTGTTTTAATTTGCATTTCTCTAGTTATTAGTGATT